CCAAGGCCGAGCTGGGGGCGGAAGACAAAACCACAAAACCACAAAACCACCCAGAGGCACCGAGCAGTTTGGAATGAACGGCCCGGCGCCCGCGGAGGGACGCCCGCCAGGTCACGGGGCGGACAAGCACGTGTCCCCGGCCCCGCGTGCGGAGATGAACGCGGGCCCCGTCGCGTCGCCGTGGGCATTCAGTTCCTCGCGCCCCTGGGCCCCGCGTGCGGACTGGAACGGCCCGGAGGGCGGGGGCCAGGCAGACCGAGGACGGCACAGCCACGCCCCTGCACCTGCAGCGGGAGGCGTGTGAGTCGTGCGTGTCATGTCGCTTTGAGAAAGCTTTCGAGAGAGAACAGCCCTGCCCTGGCCGGTGCGGCTCAGTGGACGGAGCGTCGGCCTGCAGACCGCAGGGTCCCCGTTCGATTCCGGTCAAGGGCATGCACCTCGGTTGCAGGCTCCTCCCCAGCCCGGGCCCTGGGCGGGGCTCATGCAGGAGGTGACCAATCGTGTGTCTCTCTCACATCGATATTTCTGTCTCTCCCTCTCGCTTCCACTCTCGCTAAAAATCAATGGGAAAATATCGGAAGGTGAGGATTAGCAACAACAAAGAGAGAGAGAGAGAGACCAGCCCTGAGATGGGTGGCATGAGGAGCTGGTGAATGTGGGCTGTTTGGCAGGGGAGGGGAGGGGAGGGGAGGTCAGAGCAGAAGATGAGGACATGGGGGTGCAGGTGCCACACAGACCTGGGGCCGAGGCGTGTTGACTCACTCCGTCAACACGACAGTCCTGGGAGCCACCCTGTCAGGATCCCTGTTTCACAGAGAAACTGAGGCACAGAGAGGGCAGACGCTTGCCCAGAGTCACACAGGAGAAGGGGCAGAGCCGGGCTTCAGGCCAGGGGCTGGGCCAGCAGGCTGTGCTCCAAACCGCTCCCACGCCCGCCACTGGACGCCTAGACACGTAACTGTGAAGGCAGGATTTTGTTTTCCTGGCTCCGAATTCGGCAGCAGATACATTAGATAAAAAAAAAATAATAATAATCGTCGTAAGGAAGGTTGGAGCCAATCTGAGGGATACAACGAGTAAGCATGTGCATCTGTGCATGAATAATCATCTCATGCGTCTGCACGTACATGCTACATGCATTTGGCCTGGACATGCCAATAACGGTTGGTGTTCTACCAAGAGAGAACATGCCTTCTCCACGTAAGTCCGTGGCCACTCACAGAAGTAAGGGTGTTATTCTTGCCCTTGGACACAAAGAAAATCTTCGTTTTCCGAAGCGATGTCACAGGCCACATGCTCGCCAGTTAAGTCAGAAATAAATAACAGTGATAAAAAGAGGACTGCTTAACCATTAAGAAAACATCTCTTAAAAGCACCACAGATCAAAGGGGAAAATCAAAACACAGAATAAAAACCGCCGAGAAAGCCATGAAAAGGGACGTATTTCATAGTAAGAGCTCCGTGTCACAGCTAACGCTGCCATCAGAGGGAAATTTATAGCCTTGAGATGCCTTTTAGAAGAAAGACTCTAACGAAACGAACTAAGCATCACTCTGCACTAAGTTTAAAGGAAGGACACAGTTACCCGGGACGAGGGAATTGATAAACCCAAGGGCCACGTCGGGGAAACAGAAAACAAGACCAGCTAGAGAGGCGGCGTTCCGACAAGAGAGTAAGTGCCGGCTAGAATATAAATCTCTCTCGAGTGTGGTGTGGTTTTTCTTTTCTTTTTAAAAAATAAAACCAAAACAATAAAGCTCAAAGGAGAGGAAAAAAAAAAAGAGGCAACGGCTACAGAAGAACATAAAATCGTCAGGAGAAAATGTGTTTCCACCAAGTGGCGGCACGCTGAACCCCGGAGGGTGAAAGCGCAGCGAATAAATCACCCCGAGACGCGGCAAACTGATTCCCAACGAGTCCGGGGCCCTTGGAAACGGCACAGGCCCGGCGGACGGAGGGCTTCATCCTGACAGTTCACCTTCGAGGAGACAGCTCCCCGTTCCCGGGTCTGTCCCAGGACACAGAGGGGCAGGCGGCCCCCCTTCTGTAGACACCCCGCTCGCACACGCCTGGCGACAGGGCCCTGGTCCTCCGGCCCCGGGCGCTGTTATTCCGGGGGTCAGACCTCAGGGGTGTCTTTCCCCAGGCAGAGGGGACAGTGCGGTTTTATTTTAAAAATAAATATTTTTATTGATTTTTTATAGAGAGGAAGGGAGTGGGATAGAGAGTTAGAAACATGGATCAGCTGCCTCCTGCACACACACCCTACTGGGGATGTGCCCGCAACCAAGGTACACGCCCTTGACCGGAATCAAACCTGGGACCCTTCAGTCCGCAGGCCGACGCTCTATCCACTGAACCACACCGGCCAGGGCGGGACAGTGCGGTTTTAATGGGTGTGGAGCGACGGACCTGCGCTGCGGGCGTGGCGGGCGTGGCGGGCGTGGCAGGCGTGGCGGGCGTGGGGGGCGGGGGCAGGTGGGGCTGGCTCGTGTCTGCTGTTCCACAAGCACAGGCATCGGTGTCCTGGCCACAGACCCCTGGGCAAACCTGCAATGTCGGGCAGAACACGCTTCTGGCGGGTCAAAGGGCGCCCGCGTCTGACTTTCCCGGAAGCGGCCGTGTGGGCCTCCCCGCGGTCGCCGGCGTTCGCGCTTTCCCACAGGGGCGCCTGGGGTGCGCCCACCCGGAGGGCGCGATCAGATGCCTTCGCGTTTAGTAGCCAGATAAGTGAAAAGTCCCAGCGCCTGGATTTGTATGACTCTTATCATAATGCCGCTTATCAGCATCTTTTCATCCCTAAGACTGATCGGCATTTCCTTTCCTGGGAACTGCCTTTGCCAGACTTCGGCCTTTTCTCCCCATGATTTACAAGAGCTGTGCAGCACGGCGATAAAATTAGCCCTGGGTCTTCGAAACGAGGGGCAGCTCTGCTCCCAGAAGGGTTTCTGGTTCTTTTCTTGCTTTGCGAAATATTTTTATTTTGTATGCTTTTCTCGTGGAGGCAGAACGGACACGTCACGAACTACATGTGTTTAAAGTGTACGATTTGGTCGGACGAGACCATCGCCACAGTCAAGGTCATGGACGTATCCCCCCCAACACACACACTCGAGTTTCCTGTGTCCCGCGGACGCCTCCCCAAAACTGTCCCCAGGCCCCCCCATCCCTAGGCGACCACTGAACTTGTCCCTCTACAGAGGTCTGCATTTTCTGGGTTTTATATGAGTAAAATAAGGGAGTTTGTACTCTTTTTTTTTTTTTTTAGTCTGGCTTTTCTCACTCATAATTATTCTGAGCCCAAGGTTGCAGGTTTGATCCCCCGTCAGGGCCCATACAAGAATCAACACACGAATGAATGCATCAATAAATGGAACAACAAACCTCTCTCTCTCTCTCTCTCTCCAATAAAAAATAATAATTACTATTTTGAGATTCACCCAGTCTATCATGCACATTAACCATTTATTTCTTTTTTTAAAATATATTTTTATTGATGTCAGAGAGGAAGGGAGAGAGAGGGGGGGGGAGGGAGAGAGAGAGAGAGAGAGACATCCATGATGAGAGAGAATCACTGATCGGCTGCCTCCTGCACACCCCACACTGGGGATCGAGCCCGCAACCCGGGCCTGTGCCCTTGACCAGAATCGAACCCGGGACCCTTCAGTCCACGGGCCGATGCTCTATCCACTGAGCCACACCGGCCAGGGCCCCGCATAGTTGATTTCTGTTTGTGTGTGAGGAGGGCTCCGTTGTATGGAGACGACAACCTTAAAAAAGTGTTCCAAAGCCGCTGGGCTTCTGGGTCCCAGTTTTCCTACAACTGCCACGAAGCTCCCTGTGCAGGTGAGAGGCGTGCGTCTGCGGGAGGGGGTGGCGTCAGCCTGGCCCTCCTGTCCGCTCGCCACCCACAAGTGCACCTGCCAGGCTCAGCCGTCGGATGGAGCAGGACTGCGGGCGCCCCACGGGGAGCTGGGGCCGTGGCTGTTCCCAGGGCTGGCACCGGCCAGGTCCACCCCCTCCCCCCACGCCAGGCTCTCCACGGCCCGCCCTGGGTCACCCTCGGGGGGAGGCTCGACGTGGAGGGCCGGCTGACGGTCGCCCGCGCCGGGGAAGAGAACCAGCCGTGCAGAGCCGCACGCCCGGCGCCGGCCTTCCGGGCACGGACGCCTCATCAGCATGCGGCGGGCGCGCTGTGCGCCGGGCAACGCGCGGCTGAATGGACGCAGCGCCGGCTCCGCAGTCGGCCGGCGGAGGAGGCCTCTCCCCGCGCCCAACCTGCCCATTAGCATCCGCAGAAAGCCCCCATTTGCATCCCGACAATGGCCCTGCCCCCAAGCCCAGCCGTGGGGCACCGGGCATCTGTGGGCACAATTGTCCTTTGTGCCCACTCCGGCAGCAGCGGGAGCACGTCCCGGGCTCACCGGCGACGCGGCTGGGCCAGAGCCACAGCCAGACGGCATGTGATGCGGCCGCAGGCAGCCCGGGACCCCTTGGGGTGGGTGCCCGCTCCGTCCCGCCCGCCCGGCTCCCAGGAGGATGCCCACGGCAGTGTCCCTCCCCCAGCACAGCGGCTGAGGCCCCTCCCAGCACACTGCCTGCCTCCTGCCAGGGACGATCACAAGGTACAGAGGACACAGCGGGGTCAGTGCCACCGTCCTTACAGCCACGGGCACCCGTGGGTCCCAGGACCAGGTCCGCGAGGGGAGGGGTGGGCCTGGGAGCGACAGCGAGTGGAGTGCCCCGTGCCCACGCCCCTGGTAGGGGTCTGTGTGGGGGCCGCCCCCTCTGCTGACTCGGGGCACCAGCCACAGCAGGACTCGGCGCCCTGGAGTCTAGAACAGGACGGCTGGAAGTCGGGGCAGGACTCTGAGGCAGACGCCGGCCCAGCGGGCCAGTGCCAGGCCCTGGGGCCCCTGAGCCCACCCGGCGACGGCAGGGTCCTGGGCAGGGGTCTGAGCCGCGCCCGCCCCGCTCAGCCTCCCCCGGGGGGGCCTCACCGGCGCTGTCGTAGCCGTCGGCGGAGAAGGGGTCCAGCCGCCGCTCCTCCGAAGCCGGGTCGCACGTGATGTGAGGGATCGCGAACGTCTTCTCTCCCGGACTCACCCCGTTGTCCTTGTCCAGTTTGAACTTTTTCTTCTTTACCTAAAACACCCAGCACGGACAGTAAATTGGCGGTTCATGGGAGTCTTCCGCCGGCCTCGGAACGCCCGGGCCAGGGGCCCGGCCCCAGCGCCCTCCCACCCAGCATGGGCTGTGGCACCGTGGGCTGCCCTGTGGGGCTCGGCTCCGACTCAGCCCCGAGAGCTCACGGCCAGGGGGCAGGTGGACAGAGGAACGTATAGGAACACGCCAGGGCATGGGGACCAGGGCTGGGCCCCCGGAGGCTCAGGCACGTGAGGGGGATTTACGGGGCCAGCCCAGACCGCCCGGAGGACGTGTCCTGGCGGAAGGAAGGGCACAGGCCACAGGCCGCGTGGGACCCTGGGAGAAGGTTCCGGCCGAGGGACGGCGGGTGCAGAGGCTGCAGAGGGAGCTGGACACTGAGGCGGGTCCCCCAGGGAGGGTGTGGGCGGCAGCGGGGCCGTCCACCTGCCACTCCCCATGCAGCCCCACCTGCCCGGAGCCTCCCGCTATCCTGGCTGTGACCTCAGCCCAACACGGGGCCCCCTCAAGGGCCTTCTCCCACAGCTGTCCCGCCTGGGGACCCCACGCTGGCCCGCCCGCCGTGGCCTGGAGCCTGGGGACACTGGGATGGCGGGTCCAGCATGGGTGTCCCCCCAGTGCCCGGGGCTGACCCGCACAGTCCCCGCCTGCCAACGCTGGCCCGTCCTGGGAGCGGGGAGGGGTGGGGGGCAGGTACCATGGCCGACTTCTTGGGCCGGGGGCTGGGGGAGAGCAGCATGTGGCCGCGGGGCGGCTTCCGCACGTAGATCTTCCAGGTGGCGGAATCGGGGTTCTCGGCCGCGTAGCACCTCCACGCCGTCTGGAACCGGAGGGAGAGGCTGTCACCGGCCGAGCCGGCCGCGGGGCCCCGTGCGGAAGCTGCAGCCCCCATCTTGCCATGCCCGCACCCCCACCCCCACCGCAGGACAGCAGGGCCTCCCTTGCCAGCCCCTCGCCTCCCCAGCCCCCTGGGGCAGCGGGCAGCGGGCAGAGCACACCTCGAACCCGGGGCTGCGGCCCAGACCACAGAAGCCTTGGACTGTGTGCGACCCTCCTTGGGGGCCCATGGCTGCCTCTCTCTGAGGCGCCACAGTGAGGGCAGGGGCGGGGCAGAGCCGAAGGGCTGGGCTCCCTCCAGCCAGGATGCCAGGGGCTGTGGGGGCACCAAGCAGGGCAGGAGGGGCGGGCCCTGGGGCTGGCGGGAGGCGAGGCTGAGCGGCCAGGAGGCAGAGGCCCCGAGGCCCAGGTGCCCGCTCTGGACGGGACAACTCAGAGGAGGGGCCGTGTGCCACGTGTGGGGGGAGGGGCAGCAGGGCCTGGGGTGAGGCTGAGTCCCGGGCCGTCGTGTTGGCCACGGGAGCCTGCGGGGGGCGGGGGGGAGGGGGAGGTGCTGGCTGGTGGGGCTCCTGGGGCAGAGACACCACCTGTGGGCGGACCCCACACCCACTGGCACTCAGCGCCGTGCCTACGGGGACGGCCCCCCAGGCCCTGAGCTCCCGGGGCCGCCAGGCGGGCCCTCACCTGGATGAGCGAGGCCGCCGCCGGGATCTGCCGGTTGAAGTGCTTCTGCCTCTGCTTCTGCTGCACCTTCAGGGCGAACCCGGAGCCGAGGATCCCCTGGGAGAGACGGACCCGCATGGTCAGCCCAGGCAGAGGGCGGCCCGTCGGGGGAGGGCCCTGCTGGACCCAGGGGGGCTGACGGCAGGGACCGGCTCCTCACACAGGGAGCCCCCCGTCTGCGGAGGGTCAAGGCGTACAGACCCGTGCACACACACAACACTGCGCTGTGGCCGTGACGTGCGTGCACCACGCACAGTATCCACAACACGTGCGATGCGTGTGCACCACGCACAGTATCCACAACACGTGCGATGCGTGTGCACCATGCACAGTATCCACAACACGTGCGATGTGTGTGCACCACGCACAGTATCCACAACACGTGCGATGCGTGTGCACCACGCACAGTATCCACAACACGTGTGATGTGTGTGCACCACGCACAGTATCCACAACACACGTGCGATGCGTGTGCACCACGCACAGTATCCACAACACGTGCGATGTGTGTGCACCACGCACAGTATCCACAACACGTGCGATGTGTGTGCACCACGCACAGTATCCACAACACGTGCGATGCGTGTGCACCACGCACAGTATCCACAACACGTGTGATGTGTGTGCACCACGCACAGTATCCACAACACGTGTGATGTGTGTGCACCACGCACAGTATCCACAACACGTGTGATGTGTGTGCACCACGCACAGTATCCACAACACGTGCGATGCGTGTGCACCACGCACAGTATCCACAACACGTGTGATGTGTGTGCACCACGCACAGTATCCACAACACACGTGCGATGCGTGTGCACCACGCACAGTATCCACAACACGTGCGATGTGTGTGCACCACGCACAGTATCCACAACACGTGCGATGTGTGTGCACCACGCACAGTATCCACAACACGTGCGATGCGTGTGCACCACGCACAGTATCCACAACACGTGTGATGTGTGTGCACCACGCACAGTATCCACAACACACGTGCGATGCGTGTGCACCACGCACAGTATCCACAACACGTGCGATGCGTGTGCACCACGCACAGTATCCACAACACGTGTGATGTGTGTGCACCACGCACAGTATCCACAACACGTGCAATGTGTGTGCACCACACACAGTATCCACAACACGTGCGATGCGTGTGCACCACGCACAGTATCCACAACACGTGCGATGCGTGTGCACCACGCACAGTATCCACAACACGTGTGATGCGTGTGCACCACGCACAGTATCCACAACACGTGTGATGCGTGTGCACCACGCACAGTATCCACAACACGTGTGATGTGTGTGCACCACGCACAGTATCCACAACACGTGCGATGTGTGTGCACCACACACAGTATCCACAACACGTGCGATGTGTGTGCACCACGCACAGTATCCACAACACGTGTGATGCGTGTGCACCACGCACAGTATCCACAACACGTGTGATGTGTGTGCACCACGCACAGTATCCACAACACACGTGCAATGTGTGTGCACCACGCACAGTATCCACAACACGTGTGATGCGTGTGCACCACGCACAGTATCCACAACACGTGTGATGTGTGTGCACCACGCACAGTATCCACAACACGTGCGATGTGTGTGCACCACGTACAGTATCCACAACACGTGCGATGTGTGTGCACCACGCACAGTATCCACAACACGTGTGATGCGTGTGCACCACGCACAGTATCCACAACACACGTGCAATGTGTGTGCACCACGCACAGTATCCACAACACGTGTGATGTGTGTGCACCACGCACAGTATCCACAACACGTGCGATGCGTGTGCACCACGCACAGTATCCACAACACGTGCGATGCGTGTGCACCACGCACAGTATCCACAACACGTGCGATGTGTGTGCACCACGCACAGTATCCACAACACGTGCGAAGCGTGTGCACCACGCACAGTATCCACAACACGTGCGATGTGTGTGCACCACGCACAGTATCCACAACACGTGCGATGCGTGTGCACCACGCACAGTATCCACAACACACATGCGAAGCGTGTGCACCACGCACAGTATCCACAACACGTGCGATGTGTGTGCACCACGCACAGTATCCACAACACGTGCGATGCGTGTGCACCACGCACAGTATCCACAACACGTGCGAAGCGTGTGCACCACGCACAGTATCCACAACACGTGCGATGTGTGTGCACCACACACAGTATCCACAACACGTGCGATGTGTGTGCACCACGCACAGTATCCACAACACGTGTGATGTGTGTGCACCACGCACAGTATCCACAACACGTGTGATGCGTGTGCACCACGCACAGTATCCACAACACGTGCGATGTGTGTGCACCACGCACAGTATCCACAACACGTGCGATGCGTGTGCACCACGCACAGTATCCACAACACGTGCGATGCGTGTGCACCACGCACAGTATCCACAACACACGTGCGAAGCGTGTGCACCACGCACAGTATCCACAACACGTGCGATGTGTGTGCACCACGCACAGTATCCACAACACGTGCGATGCGTGTGCACCACGCACAGTAACCACAACACACGTGCGAAGCGTGTGCACCACGCACAGTATCCACAACACGTGCGATGTGTGTGCACCACGCACAGTATCCACAACACGTGCGATGCGTGTGCACCACGCACAGTATCCACAACACACGTGCGATGTGTGTGCACCACGCACAGTATCCACAACACGTGTGATGTGTGTGCACCACACACAGTATCCACAACACACGTGCGAAGCGTGTGCACCACGCACAGTATCCACAACACGTGTGATGTGTGTGCACCACGCACAGTATCCACAACACGTGTGATGCGTGTGCACCACGCACAGTATCCACAACACGTGCGATGTGTGTGCACCACGCACAGTATCCACAACACGTGCGATGTGTGTGCACCACGCACAGTATCCACAACACGTGTGATGTGTGTGCACCACGCACAGTATCCACAACACGTGCGATGCGTGTGCACCACGCACAGTATCCACAACACGTGCGATGTGTGTGCACCACGCACAGTATCCACAACACGTGTGATGCGTGTGCACCACGCACAGTATCCACAACACGTGTGATGTGTGTGCACCACGCACAGTATCCACAACACGTGTGATGCGTGTGCACCACGCACAGTATCCACAACACGTGCGATGTGTGTGCACCACGCACAGTATCCACAACACGTGCGATGTGTGTGCACCACGCACAGTATCCACAACACGTGCGATGCGTGTGCACCACGCACAGTATCCACAACACGTGCGATGCGTGTGCACCACGCACAGTATCCACAACACGTGTGATGTGTGTGCACCACGCACAGTATCCACAACACACGTGCGATGCGTGTGCACCACGCACAGTATCCACAACACGTGCGATGCGTGTGCACCACACACAGTATCCACAACACGTGCGATGTGTGTGCACCACGCACAGTATCCACAACACGTGTGATGTGTGTGCACCACGCACAGTATCCACAACACGTGTGATGCGTGTGCACCACGCACAGTATCCACAACACGTGTGATGTGTGTGCACCACGCACAGTATCCACAACACGTGCGATGCGTGTGCACCACGCACAGTATCCACAACACGTGCGATGTGTGTGCACCACGCACAGTATCCACAACACGTGCGATGTGTGTGCACCACGCACAGTATCCACAACACGTGCGATGTGTGTGCACCACGCACAGTATCCACAACACGTGCGATGTGTGTGCACCACGCACAGTATCCACAACACGTGTGATGTGTGTGCACCACGCACAGTATCCACAACACGTGCGATGTGTGTGCACCACACACAGTATCCACAACACGTGCGATGCGTGTGCACCACGCACAGTATCCACAACACGTGCGATGTGTGTGCACCACGCACAGTATCCACAACACGTGCGATGTGTGTGCACCACGCACAGTATCCACAACACGTGCGATGCGTGTGCACCACGCACAGTATCCACAACACGTGCGATGTGTGTGCACCACGCACAGTATCCACAACACGTGCGATGTGTGTGCACCACGTACAGTATCCACAACACGTGCGATGTGTGTGCACCACACACAGTATCCACAACACGTGTGATGTGTGTGCACCACGCACAGTATCCACAACACGTGTGATGTGTGTGCACCACGCACAGTATCCACAACACGTGCGATGTGTGTGCACCACACACAGTATCCACAACACGTGCGATGTGTGTGCACCACGCACAGTATCCACAACACGTGCGATGCGTGTGCACCACGCACAGTATCCACAACACACGTGCGAAGCGTGTGCACCACGCACAGTATCCACAACACGTGCGATGTGTGTGCACCACGCACAGTATCCACAACACGTGTGATGTGTGTGCACCACGCACAGTATCCACAACACGTGTGATGCGTGTGCACCACGCACAGTATCCACAACACGTGCGATGTGTGTGCACCACGCACAGTATCCACAACACGTGCGATGCGTGTGCACCACGCACAGTATCCACAACACACGTGCGAAGCGTGTGCACCACGCACAGTATCCACAACACGTGCGATGTGTGTGCACCACGCACAGTATCCACAACACACGTGCGAAGCGTGTGCACCACGCACAGTATCCACAACACGTGCGATGTGTGTGCACCACGCACAGTATCCACAACACGTGCGATGCGTGTGCACCACGCACAGTATCCACAACACGTGTGATGTGTGTGCACCACGCACAGTATCCACAACACGTGCGATGCGTGTGCACCACGCACAGTATCCACAACACGTGCGATGCGTGTGCACCACGCACAGTATCCACAACACGTGCGATGCGTGTGCACCACGCACAGTATCCACAACACGTGCGATGCGTGTGCACCACGCACACACAGGCCACGGGTACAGACACAACCCGTGCCCGGGCGCAAAGCATATGCAAATACACACTATGCGTGCACCTGTGAGACACACATGCACATGCATTCCACATGACACCCAACACGGGACACAGCACACAGCGTGCATGCACACACACATGCACACAGAGTGACCCCGATTTACCCCTGGGTCACGTTTACCCCTTGGCTGTGGGTTCTGGGAAGGATGTGGGTCAAGGCCCCTCGCCGGCCACAGTGCGGGCCTCGTGCTCCCTCACCAGGTGCCCGCGGGGTAGTCACTATTGGGGTTCACCCTACCCGCTGGGGACTGAATAAGCCGGCTGCACCCAGTGTGCAGGGATAGGCCTCTCCAGCAGCCACTCCACTGGGGCCCGGGCAGGAAGCTGGCTTCTCGTGTTTTGTCCCACTAAGCAGTCTGCTCACAGCAGGACCCTGCACACAGTGGGGCTCTGCACACAGTGGGGACCCTGCACACAGTGGGGCTCTGCACACAGTGTGGACCCTGCACACAGTGGGACCCTTCACACAGTGGGGACCCTGCACACAGTGGGGCTCTGCTCACAGTGGGGACCCTGCTCACAGTGGGGACCCTTCACACAGTGGGGACCCTGCACACAGTGGGGCTCTGCACACAGTGGGGCTCTGCGCACAGTGGGGCCCCTGCACACAGTGGGGACCCTGCTCACAGTGGGGCTCTGCTCACAGTGGGGCTCTGCTCACAGTGGGGCTCTGCTCACAGTGGGGCCCCTGCACACAGTGGGGACCCTGCTCACAGTGGGACCCTGCTCACAGTGGGGCTCTGCTCACAGTGGGGCTCTGCTCACAGTGGGGCCCCTGCTCACAGTGGGGACCCTGCTCACAGTGGGGACCCTGCACACAGTGGGGCTCTGCACACAGTGGGGACCCTGCACACAGTGGGGCTCTGCTCACAGTGGGGACCCTGCACACAGTGGGGCTCTGCTCACAGTGGGGACCCTGCTCACAGTGGGGACCCTGCTCACAGTGGGGCTCTGCTCACAGTGGGGACCCTGCACACAGTGGGGCTCTGCTCACAGTGGGGACTCTGCACACAGTGGGGCTCTGCTCACAGTGGGGACCCTGCACACAGTGGGGACCCTGCACACAGTGGGGACTCTGCTCACAGTGGGGACCCTGCACACAGTGGGGACCCTGCACACAGTGGGACCCTGCTCACAGTGGGGACCCTGCACACAGTGGGGACCCTGCTCACAGTGGGGACCCTGCACACAGTGGGGACCCTGCACACAGTGGGACCCTGCTCACAGTGGGGCTCTGCTCACAGTGGGGCTCTGCTCACAGTGGGGACCCTGCACACAGTGAGGACCCTGCACACAGTGGGGCTCTGCACACAGTGGGGCCCTGCGGTCCTGGAGCCCAGGGGAGGCTGGTGAGCCGCGGAGACACCCATGCAGAGCACCTACCGCTGGGAGCGCGAAGAAGGAGATGGCAAAGACGGAGAAGCAGGAGGCGATGGTCTTCCCAACCCACGTCTGGGGCACCTTGTCCCCGTAGCCGATGGTGGTGACCGTGACCTGTGCAGGGAGGGGGGAGGGGGACAGTGGTCAGCAGTCGAGGCCCCAGAATCCAGCCACAGCACCTGTCTCGCCTAAACCACCTCCACCCACCTCCACCCCACGAGCAGGGCCAGGCGGTCTCGGCAGGACTCTGGCTGTGCTGCCCTACTAAGCGGTCTGCGCACAGTGGGGACCCTGCCCGGCCAGTGCGCACAGGGTGGTCGGGCTCTCCACGCTACGCGCTGCTCCTGGGCCCGCTCCCCGGGTGGGCACGGGCCTGGTGCCAATGGAAACCAGGCCGCATGGACATGCAGGCCTCCCGCCCGCGCCCGCGCCCGCCTCACCCTGGAGGAGGCTGCCCCCAGGCCACCGACGTCGCTGCACACAGCCCCCCGGAGGCCAGCCGCGAGGAGAGCCGGACGGATGACACGCACTTCCTGCCGCCCCCAGGCACCACATGTTTCTTGCGTCCTTTCCTCCCCGAGAAGCAGCCGCAGCCCAGTCCTCCTCCCGTCTGGGGGGTCTCCGTCCCAGGCTGCGGAGTGACATGGGGCTGGGGCTCCCCGACTGGGCCGGCCTTCTGCTGCCACCGGAGGGCCCCCCCACCCTCCGGCTCCAGCGTGAGCTGACAGAGACATGCTGTAGGGACTCCGGAGCCCACCCAGGCGGGGCCAGCTGCTCAGCCCCCCGGCCCAGCCCCGAGCTGCCCCCGAATCCGGGTTTTCCAGGGCCTGGCTCGAGCCTGGCCAGGGGACCACGGATGCCCCGAGCCCCCGCTGCCCCCGGGCGCAGCTCACACCTGCACACAGGACAGCAGGCTCGGTGCCGAGTGTCCCCGTGGCTCCGGGGCCGTGGGAGACCTCCTGGCCGGCCCTGCTGCCCGTGGACGGTCGGCCTGGGCCTGGGCAGCGGCTTCTCCCTGTGGGATGCCGGGCCAGCGAGCAGCCTCCACAGCCCGAGGTCTGCGGGGAGCCTCCCTTCCATCCCCGGCCCCGTGAGCCCGTGTGGGGAGCGGGGACGTGGAGGCAGGGCCTGGCAGGCCCCTGAGCAGCCTCTGTCCGCCTGAAGGTGAGGCCCTCCCTGGCCCACGCGGCGCGCTGACGGCGCAGAACCCGGGAGCGAGGCGAGGCCGGGGGAAACGGGGCCGGAAGGAGGCACGGACACGGAGACACAGCGGGTCCCACGCCAGCACCGAGCGGCCCCGGCCGGCCCGTCACGCACACACACGGCCGACACCACGACGCGCAGCGATGTGCAAGGGCCTGGCGTGCAGGAGGGTCACACGGCACACACGTGCATGCACAGCACACACACATGCACACGGCAGGGCAGGGTCACACACACCAGCTGCTGCCACGTCGAGCCCGATCCCCCGGCACACTCAGATGCGAGCCCTCGCTCCCAGAGCAGAGCCGGGGGCCTCAGGGTGGAGACAGACCCCACCCCCACCCCGCATGCGGCCACAGGCAAGGCTGAGGGCGGGTGGCAGATAAGGGGACCCTGGGGGAGCCCAGGCCCCCTGGTCGGCGGGGTGTCCTCCCGGGAGGGAGGGCCTGGGCCCACGTGTGACGCCTGGGATGCAGCTGCCTCTCCAGGGCCGGCACCGGGAGTAGAGGCAGCGTTGGGCCTGCAAACGGGCGCCCCCCCCCCGCCCCGCCCTCTCTGGGAAGCAGAGGCCTCCTTCGGAAGTTGTTTTATTTGCGTGAACAGACATTATTAGCGTATAAGGAGCATCTCCTATTTTCAAGGAGTTATCCCTCCGCTTCCTAACGTGCTCAGCAGCAAAGAGAGAAGCCACGTGAGCACACGCTCTCCGGGACTTCGATCGTCAAGAGTAAAGAGCTCCTGCCAGGGCCTCACGGCGGGGGGACCTCGGAGACCAGGCGGCGGGGAGGCCAGTGGGGCACCCACACCTGGGCACCAAGGTTAGGGCGCCCGGAAACTCAGGAAACATAACAAAGACACGTGCCCCAACCTTTGAAACGATCACAATTCCTGCAAGAGCCCAGCGAAGGAAGTGCGGGAAGGAAGGGCTGAGGGGCAGCGGGACGGGCGGCGGGCGGCCGGCGAGGACGCCTGAGACCACCCCCTCAGCACAGGAGCCCGGCTGGGCCCTCCTGCCGGCCCCGCCCAGGCCTGGCCCACGCCGTCCGCGTCCGCGAGGGGCAGGGGCTGCCGGCCGGCCGGTCAGCACAGGTGGGGGTGCCCGGGCCAGGGCTCCCCAACCCCCACGGAGAGCACAGGCCCAGAGCCGGGCCGCCGGCCTCGGACCCTGTCACAGACCCTCTTTGTCAAGTTAACGACGTCCTCCCGCCTTGGAGGAAACGGCCGACCCCACGGCTGTTTGTTTTTCCGGAGCTCGCAGACACAGGCAGCTCAGGAATGGGCCTCGCCGCCGCCACTCGGAACTCGGCCCCGACGCGGCGCTAGAATGCAGATCGGCACGTCCGCGGGGCCCACAGACCCGGGGGGCGGGGGCGGGGGGACACGGCGCGGCCACCGCGGCCTCTCCCGGGCGCCGGGACGCTCAGACGTGGCCACACGGACCCGGCCGTCCCGTCCCAGGGCCACGGAGCGCCCTCGTCCTCCCAGGAGCCTCTGCTGCTCCACGTCCCTTCCGAAGGACGGGGCGCGAGAGGCCCGCCAGTCGCCCCCCCACGCCCCCCACGCTCTGCCGAGGCGCTGGGCAGGCACCCTGCAGCCTCCTCCTGCAAGCAGCACCCTGCAGGCCGCCCTCCGGGGCCCGAAACCTGGACCCCACTGGGCAGGAGGTCGGCCCGTGGCCACCGCACAGGCCAGATGCATCCGGGAATGGCACAGCCGTCTTCCCAGCAGGGAGGGGTGGCCAAGAGCGGGACCCCGAGGGGCTCCCACGGGTGGCACGTCCACTTGACAAACTGGCACCGATGCCCTGAGTGAGGGGGAAACTGAGGCTGGGGGGCAGGCACTGTGCCCGTGGTGCCACTGCTGGGGAGTGGCTGAGCTGGAGTGACCGAGGCCAGCCCGGCCCCAGACGCCACACCAGGATGCCAGGAAGGCTGGGCCGCAGAGCTGAGGCCGGCGGCTGCCCGCCTCACAGTCCAGACCTCGCCCAGCCTCCAGCCACCCACCTGCCCCGAGGAGGCTGGGTGGGTGGCAGGACCCTCGAGGCCAGAGGGCTAAGAAGTGTGATGGATGCTGGCAACCATAAACACTTTAGTGTGAATTAGCTTGCTCTGGGCCATCCTGAGCGTCTGGCTCTGGGCCCTGCCAGGAGAACGGTGACTGGTAGCTGCCCCCTAGAACGTATCACCAGCCTTTCCTGCGTCCCTGTGGCTTCCTGTGCGCTCACTCACACCACTCTCTGACGATCCATGGAAGGAGGTGCTCATCTTATACCCACTTCACAGATGGGCCCAGAGAAGTGGGGTGAGCCCCCCGGGCCACACAGCGGGTCAGTGGTGGAGCTCGGATGCCGCCCCGCGGCTGGCTTTGGCCCCAGGCTCCTGCCCACCCGTCACGGCTCTGCGTCCTGTCTCGCGGTGTCTCCTGATGCCGTCATCGTTTCTCTCCCCCAGGCTGAAGCTGGCAAGCTCTTACCCTCGCTGACATGTGCTGAACCCCACCCCCCCAAAATCAATCCTGCACACCACCCCCACTGCGCACCCCCAGGTGTCTGCCAGGGGGCAGGATGTGAAGCTTCCTTATAGACTCCTACTCATCCTGCAAAACCCAGCTGTAAAGGCCCTTCCTTGGGGAGGGCCCTCTGGCTCGGCTCCCAGAATCCACAGTGACCCCCCACTCCATGGTCCACAGGCACAGGGTTGTGCGGGGGCCGCTGGCAGCCTGGGTTCCTGGGGACCCTCAGGTCCCCCCAGGCTTCCCCCAGAGGAAGGGCCCTGGGTGGGTGGGCTCTGAGCGCTGGGGTGGGGGCCTGGCTGCCACCCCTGGGGCCACGGGCCTCCGTAGCTGCAATGAGGTCCTGACGCTGGCCCCACCCAGGGCTTCTGCCTGAGTGTCTGGGAGGCCCTGTCCTCACCCAGGCGCCCACTCGGCCTCAGAGCCCTCTGACCGCCCCCTGCCAGGATGCCAGGCAGCCCGCGAGGCCGAGCTGCTGGGGCCGCGTGGCGGAGGGCGTGAGCGGGAGGCAGACCAGTCTGCATGGCGGCCGAGGGGCAGGGCCGGCTTCCCGAGTTTTCACTCTGGACTCTAAATTTAGATCCCGGGAAACCAGAGCCCAGCGGCCTCCGATCGGAGACCCCGGGGCACGAAACAGAGGCGCCGTGTGTCAGAGCCCGTCCCCGCCGCCCCGGCTCGAACACAAACACTCGCGTTTTGTTCCAGCGGCAAAGGAAAAAGCCTCCCGTCCTCCCCACACCCAGCGGCCGGGCGTGGGGCGCCGCACGTGGGGGAGCGGGGAGCGCTCACACCAGAGGGGCGTCCCCACCTTGGGAGGGTGGGGGGCGCACAGGGGGCACCGGCCACAGAGCCGGCCCCTTCGCTGCGCAGAGCGGGAACTGGGGCTGGGCGAGGGGAGCACTGCTGTCCTGGCTGAATAGTGTCCCCTGAAATGTGTGTCCACCCGATCCCCAGCCTGTGAGCGTCCGTGGACACAGGGCCCTTGTCACGGAGGCTGAGGGGTGACCCAGTTATCCCCGACCAACGACGAGTATCCCCGTAAGAGACAGAAGATGTGCCACACGTCCAGAGGGTCCTGGGCCCCCCAAAGCTGGAGGCGGCAGGGGGGCCCTCCCCAAAGCCTCCGGAGGGAGCGTGGCCCCCCGACACTTAGAGGTCAGCCTCCTGGCTTCCAGACCTGGGGAGCATGCGGCTGCTGTGTAAGACCCCGGGGGGACCCCGGGACTCTGGGACAGCCCTGGGGACCAACACCCCACTGCCCGATGCCAGGCAGGGCCACCCCGAGGCACCGGCTCCTTCACTCATTCGTTCACCCGGCAACCACCAGGGCTGACCGGCGGGGGCACTGGCCACCCCTGGCTCCTATGGCCCTTGGGGCCCACACGGCTCCCGGCAGGGCTCCCGGCTCCAGAGGGGACGCAGCAGCCGGCCCTCAGGCCCCGACGCCCGATGCCCTGCTGTTGGGTCCTCCCCCGGCTCCTGAGCAGCTGGTCTGGCTCCTGGGCGGCCCCGGCATGCAGATCCGAAATGGCCCGGCCGGTGACCCTGGCCCTGTCCGGGGTCCTCACCACCCAGTGGGTAGGAGCCCCCCGTCTCTCAGGGCTGGGCCGGGGGGAGGTGCCCGTGCGCACGTGGGGTGGGGGGACGGGGGGTGGACGCAGTCGGGACACAGGAAGCCGATGCACAGCAACTGCGTGGTCACAGATGCCACTGGCCCGGAGCCCCAGCCAGGCAGCTCTGTTTGTCCGAGACGCGCCAGGAACACAGCCCATAACTCAAGCCGCGGGGGGCACCCGGACAGCTGCAGGGGCAGCCGCCGCGATGAATGGGAGCTGTTTGCCCCCGGGCCCGGGTGTCAGGGGCCCGGGCGGCCCAAGGCCCAGCAGGAACAATGGCCAGGCCAGGGCCCACGGTGGCCGAGGCTGGGGCTGCAGCTGACGGCGAGGCCTGGGGCACCGGTGCCAAGCCGGGCACAAAGGGGCCGTTTTCCTGGCCGGCGGGCGGATGTTTGCACAGGTGTGGGAGTGGGCGCGCCGCCGTGTGGAGGGCGGGGGCAGGGGGCCCTCGCTGCCCGCAGCTCCAGGAGCCGCGAGGAGGTGGGGGCAGTGCCAAGCCCGGCCGAGCCTCAGCCTTCACCCACGTGCTTCTGGCCCTGGCAACCCTTTGCCCCTCACCAGGGCCGGTGCCCCCTCTACCCACCACGGGCCAGCTCGCTGCTGAGGGTGAGGCCCCCACCAAACCTGCGGGGGCTGCCGCCCTGGACCTGAGGGGCACGGGTCTATGGGAGGGACGCCACCAGGGCCAGAACCAGGGCCGTGCCCACCCAGAGCTGGGCCAGCATGCCCTCGCCTTCGCTGAGCAGCCTGGCACGTTGGAAGCTTCCGGAAAACACACGGTCTCCACCAATGTCAGGAGCCCTGTCTAGGAGCCCAGCCTCGTGGATGGGGACCCGGGAGCAGTAAAGGCACGTGCCTGCCCGGAACCAAGGGGTCCTCTGCCCCAACCATCTGAGAGGGGTGCCCGCTGTGGGGGACGGTGGGGAGCCCTGGAGAGAGGGGCCCTCCTTCTCGGAAGGAGAAACACGCGGGGCTGGCACAGGCCCTGCCCCTGCCCCTGCCCAGTGCCCCTTGGACCTGTGCTGTCCCCAAGGCCCCGGCCCACCTCCCACAGGCTGCCACGCTCTTGTCTCCCTGGTCCGAGCAGGCCGGGGTACCCCCCAGCTCAGGGGCTCCTGCTGGGCCACTCGCCTCCTAGGCCGCGAGCTCACACAGCCCCTGAGTGCTGTGCCCGGGGAAGGGGCGTGGGAGACCCGGCCGCACGCCTGGCCCCACCGCTGGTGGCCGCACGCCTGGCCCGCACAGGCCCAGCCCTGCGCAGGCGGCGTTTCCAGCTTTGGGGCTGGGAGTCCCCATCAATGAGGCATCGAGTCTTGAGAAACCAGAGCCCAAGGGCCACAGGGCAACATCCTGCCCCCGTCTCTGCCCAGGCCCCAGGGGGTGGGGGGTGGGAGGGAGCAGAGGCCGCACAGCCCCCACCACACAGACCGCCCGCCTGCGCCCGACCTACCACTCCCCACCACAGGGCGTCGGCGTAGCTGCCGAACTCCACGCGGCCCGCCTCGTTCACGGCGTCCTTCTCGGCCAAGTAGACGAAGTAGGAGGAGAAGATGAGGCCCAGGAAGCCGATGTACAGGGTGGTGATCAGCTCCTGGGGGAGAGGGCGGGTCAGCGGGCGGGTCAGCGGGCTGGGCGGGGGGGTGCACGTGGCCGCCGGGCCCCACGGCACCCGGACGGGGACGTGCCATCTCTGCCACGTCTCCCTGCGGACCCTGCACTTCGCAACAACTACTTCTCACAACTCTCAAAGACGGCGGTGGGGCCCCACCCCCAGGAGCCGCAGGCCCACCATGGCCTGGGCGCACGGTCTGGGCAGCACAGGCTTCCTGGCCGCCCGGCTCCCTTCCCGCGGCGTCAAGGGCGGGTGGGGACACGGGAGCAGCAAAGGCACGTGCCGGCCTGGAACCACGAGGCCCCCCCCCGCCCCCCGGGGCTGGTCTTGGCCCGGCTTTAGGTTCGGAGCCTCTGGACCGTCCCATCACCTGGCTGTCCTTGCCTGTGCCCGACAGTCCCTTGCCCCCCCCCCCCCCCGGAAGGAATGGGCACCCCATCAGACGGGCAGGCCGGATGCCAGCCATAGGCTGCTGTCCCCGCCCCCGCCCTGCCCCTGCCCCCGGCCCACCTGGCGGTGGATGAAGACCACGGAGCCCAGCAGCCTCCAGGTGCCGCCCTGGCGGTCCACGTGCAGCATCCGCAGGATCTGGAGGAAGCGGATGCCCCTGCGGAGGAGAAGCCTGTGTCCCCACGGCCCCCAGGCCCTCCCTCCCACTGGCCGTGAGCCGCCACTCACTGAGCGCACCCCCTTGTCCCCTCACCCTTCCCGGAGCCGGGGCCAGACCTGCACGGTCCTCCCCCCGCCCCCACCCTAGGCCGCCTCCGGCCGGATCCCCCCAGTTTACAGAGGAGCAGACTGAGGTCCCTGGATGGTGAGGTCACAGCCCAAGTCCAGACAGCGAGGGGGAGCCTGGGCCGGGCCTGCACCCCTCACTCAGCTCAGCCGGGGGCGGTCCCGGCCCGAGAGCCTGCAGCCGGCGTACCTGATGGCCGAGGTGGCGAACACCTGCCCCTTGGAGCCCACGCAGAGGACCACCATGGAGGCCACGACCACGATGAGGTCTGCGGGCGGAGAGTTCCCGCGTCACCAGCCCGGCAGCCGGCTCCGCGGAAAGAGCCTGGCGGGTGGGGGGGACGGGGTCCCCCAAAGGGACTGTCCCGGCACCTGCAGAGCCCACCCGGCCCACCCCAGGCCGGCCCGCAGGCCGCTGAGGGCAGCAGGCGCCCCGCTGTGCCGAGCTCGCCCCAAACCCCTGTCCCGGGAGCAGCGCCTGAGGGCAGGGGGCTGGGTGCTGAGGCTGGCTCCTGTGCTGGGGGACCCGGGAGTCACCCCGCTGGCCTCGGGTCCTGCCTGTCACGGGCAGTGAAGCCCGGGGATTCTCCCAGAGGCACTCAGGATGGGGGTCCGCCCTGCCCGATCCGCCCTTCCGGGGGCGCTGGCCAGGAATCTCGGGGGGACACTCCGTGGGGACGGACAGGACTCACCGATGATGGAAATGGGCTTCCGGGCGAAGCGCAGCCGCCCCCAGACGCCCACGTACTTGCTCCGGCAGCCGGCTGACCAGAGGCGGACCACATACTCCGTCCCGAAGAACACGACCAGCACGATCTCCTGTGGGGACAGAACCGTGAGCTCACCTCGCGGCCGCTCCGCCGCCCATTCCGCAGCCGCACCGGGGCCCTGCCCGCCCAGGCCACCGGCAGTGGGCGCCCTGCTCTTCAGACCAGGCCCAGAGGGCGGGCCCCCAGGGCTCGGAGCGGCTCTGGGTCAGGAGGGTGCCCCGGCCTGGCCCGGGGCCTGCAGGCTCCAGCCAGCGCTCTGCACAGTGCGGAGCCCGAGCTCAAGCCGCGCAGCCTCCAGGGTCACCCGCAGCCTCGGGCGGGGAAGGGCCAAGTGGGGTCAGAGGGCATCACTGGCCCCATCCCGAAAGGAGGGGCAGGGTCAATGTCAGCGGCCGTGACTGCCACGGGGGAGACCCCTGCCATCGCCCAGGCTCCGAAAAAGGCTGTGCCCCATGTCAGCCTGCAGCCAGGGACCTGGGTGAAGCCGGGCCAATGTGAGTTACAGTGGATGGACGCACAGTGGACAGACGGACGATGGAGGGATGGAGGGAGAGCGGGTGGGCGGGTAGACAAGGGAAGACAGGCGGGTGAAACTCAACTCAGAAGGCCAGCGCCTACGCCAGCCACCACGCTGGACAGCCGGGTGAAACGGGCCGATTCCTAGAAACGCAAAACCTCCCAGGACGACACCAGGGAGAGGCAGGCCACGCTGGACGCGCCTGGGACTGGCCGGGAGCTGGAGGCGGGCATCAGGCCCCTCCCGGGAAGGAGAGCCCTGGGCCTCCCGCTCTGCTGGGGAAGTCCATCCGGCGCTTACAGAACCGGCACCGGCCCGTCTCCGAAGCTCCCCAAAAGCTGAAGAGGAGGGGACGCTTTCCAACTCGTTCGGCGAGGCCAGCATCACCCCGATACCGAAGCCAAAGACACCACGAGGAGAAAGAACGAGAAAAAAACGCCCAGAGCCGCGTCTCTCAGGAGCGTGGACGATAAAACCTTCGGGGAGACCCAGGCGTGCGGCCGCTGCATATCGAACAGATGAGGCGCGACGACCACGTGGGGTTTGTCCTCGGGACGCAAGGACGGCTCAGCGTGCGAGCCTCAACCAATACCACACCGCACCCCGACGGAGCGGGGAGCAACACACGCCCTCAGCCGGCTCGGAACGGGCGCTCGGCAAAATTCAACCCCCTTTCGGGCCCAAACACTCCACAGACCAGGAGGAGAAGGCAGCCGCCTCCACGGGGTAAAGTCTCCAGAAAAGCCCACACCAAACAGCGCCTGGACGGGGAGAGGTGAGAGCCTTCCCCCCAAGACCAGCAACAAGACAGGGGTGCCCGCTCCCCCATCGACTCGACGCAGCCCCCACCTTCCAGCCGGAGCCGGGAGGCAGGAATGGGCGGCAAGAGGCATTCAAACTGGACACGAGGAAGAAGAGCCTGTCTGCCGGCAGGTGATGCGAACTCAGCCGGGGAGACCCTCGCGCCCCCCCCAAACCCTGCTAGGCCTCATCCACGGGTCTGGCAAAGCGGGGTACGGGGTCAGCACACAGAAATCGGCGGCCTCGCGGTATCCGCTGCATTGTTTCGGCCAACAACGGGCGATCTGCACAGGAAGCTGCCAGCGCGGCTCTGTCTACACTGGCATCCAGGGGGCACGAAATACAGGGCACTCGCTTAGCCACGGAGCGCGCGGCCTGCACGGCGCAGGCTGGGGAAGGCCACAGGCAGAGGCGAAGGGAGGCACATCACTGCACACACCCATCGCCGTGCCTGGCAGAGGCCGCGGCTGAGCCGGCGAGGTGGCACCACGGGGACAGCGATTCGGGGCGAACCCTCGGAGACCCCCAGAAACAGAAGAAAGGCGTCTTCAATGTGGGTGGCATCTCCCGAGCACCCAACAGCCCCGACACCCCGTGGTGCCTGCACACAACGGCATCGCGCTCGGCCCCAACGGGGAAGCGGATCCCGGCACAGGCTCCCACGGGGACGGGCCTGGAGGGCGTTGTGCTCAGTAAGACGTGCCGATCGGGGGTCAGGCCACTGGCAGCTGGTTCCCTGTCCCGTTCCGTTGCCCCCACCCCAGGACCCGGCGCTGGCAGGGGCGCCTGCTCCCAGGGGTGGCAGCAGCAGGCCCGGCTCCCACGCCCAGTGTCTGCCCTCCCGCCACGGAGCCCGGCACAGGGGCGCTGGGCGCTGCCGGCGGCACTCACGCGCTGTGCATTAGGGCGATGGGATGCCTGTGCCACCCGGCTTGTGTGTGGGGCCCGGCCCGTGGGCGACAGGCGAGCCTGCGGAACGCCGCCTGCCTGCCTTTTGCAAAAACGTTCTTGGTTTGTAAGGTCGAGTCCTTCAGGGGCCGGGGGTGCGTGTGGTTGGGGACACGGGGAGACAGTGGCAGGGCAAACGGGCACAGACTCTGCGGCCTCATGGTGGGCACCGGTCCCTCCTCTCTCCCCAGCTTCGGGGGCAGCGGCCTTGGCTGGGAGCTGGCTGAGCCCAGGGGTCAGGGGGCACGTCCATCTGTCCACCCCCAGCCCAGGCGGGCACTGACGCAGGCACACGGGATGAAGAAGGGAGGAGGAACGGACGGGCGCACGCTGGCAGGGACCGTCTCGCTCACTTGTGTCCTGCGAACGCCCCCAATGGCACGGCTGGCCGCCCGCTAGCAGGCTCTTTTCTCATTTCGGGGCATTTTTAAATCACTAAACTCGTCAGCGCTTCCTAATCAGATCGGGAGCGACAGGCGTCTCGGGCGAGACCTTAAAGGAATGACCGGCAGAGCCTCGGCCGACGGCGGCGTGACCCCCAGTTCATCCGGCCTCCACGCCGGGGACCCAGCTGCCCTGCCTTCGGGGGCGCCGGCCGAGACGCGGGACCCCTCCGGAGGGCGAGGTGTAGGAATAATTTTAAACAATGCTAATCCCCAAATCCTGTTTGAGTCTGGAATGCAGAGCCGGCCGCTGGCCGCTGGGCTCACTGTATCTAAGTGGCCCGGGCCCCCGGCTCGGCGACGCAGCGGCCGGCTTGTCGGGAAGGGACGGGAGGGAGGCCCGAGCCGGTGGCCTCCACCCGCCTCCGGTGCCCGGCAGCATGGCCCTCAGGGCCACGGCCAGGCTGGACCTCAGAGCGGGCACCCTCGGCGGGGTCCTGGGGCTCCTGTGGCCGACACTCCCGGGGCCGATGTCCCGGCCGGTCCAGTCCAGGCAGCGCCAGCTCGTGGTGCCGCCCCTCCTTCTGGGAACACCCCTCCTCACTGTGGGTTTAGGGGGGCCAGCCTCCGGCCTCAGGGCCCACCTGTCATGCCCGGGGGTCTCTGTCCTGGGAGGGATGGGCCCCAGGGAGCCCTGGGTGTGCGCCCGGTCGCCCGTGGAGATGGCCCTGAACTCTGTCCCGAAGGCGGGAGGACAGGGCCCTCGCCCGCGTCAGGGGTGAGACACAGACACCCCCCATCCCCCCGCACTGACCCTCCGACAAAACGAGCCTGCCTCCTGGCTGCAGGCTTCACGGGTGGGCTGGGGCCGGTCTGGGCGCCGGGACTGGGTACAGACAGAGCATGGCCGCCTGCCCGAGGCCCCCGGACCTGAGACACAGGGACGTGCGGGGTCCGAGCAGCCACCACCCCCACCCCCCTCTCAGCGGGGGGGATCTGTGTCATTTAGAATTGTCAGTAAGGACGTTCCCACAGACACCGGTTACAAACGGGCGAAGAGCTGAGAAGATGCGCCAACGGCCAGCAAACCCACGGAATCCCTCGTCGCCAAGGAGACACAGACCAGACCCCGGGAGGCGCCCCTCACACCCACCAGGGTGGCTCCACCAGAAAGAAAAAAGCAGCCCGGCCGGCGTGGCTCAGGGGCTGAGCGTCGACCTAGGACCCAGGAGGCCACAGTTTGATCCCCGATCCGGGCACAGGCCCGGGTTGCAGGCTCCGTCCCCAGGGTGGGGCCTGCAGGAGGCGGCCGATCCATGATCCTCTCTCATCATTGGCGTTTCTGTCTCTCTCCCTCTCCCTTCCTCTCTGAAGTCAATACACATAGATTTTTTAAAAAGAAAAAAACAGACAACAACAAGTGTTGGCGAGGACATGGCGAAACCGGAGCCCTGGGCGCTGAGCTGGGAACGCCTGGCCCCTCGCCGGGCGGGTCGAGGCACCAGACCCTCCGGGCACACCCCGGGCAGCAGCGCCCCAAGCCCTGCCGGCCGCCGTGGCCCGGAGCGTCCCCCCCGCCGCCTCCGGCCGCGCCCCTCACCTTCAGGCACAGTCAGCTCAGCAGTGAAGGAACCACTGAGCTCAGCCAGGGGCTGCAGCCACGACACGGGGACCGGGGCACAGAGGGCGGGCTGGGGTGCAGAAGGGGCGAGGGCTCCCCACGATGCGGCTCCCATGCAGCCACAACCCCCCCCCCCCCCGCACCAACCCAAGACTTCCTCCTCGCGGTGGAGCCTTGCCGTCCGGCAGACACACACCAGGCCACGGTCACGAGAGGAGCTGGGCCAGGAAGGCACGCAGGCCCCGCCGGGGGTCCCGGGGTCAGGGCACGTGATCTGGAAACCCCAGGAGTCGAGATAAAGGTTTAGAAAAGCAGGTGCTCGTCTGGGCTCGCTCTTGGGCGCCGGGGGGAGCTGGCGACGGCTCAGAGGTTTCCATCGTGGGGATGAAGGGCGGCGGCCGCCTTATCTGCCGCTTCGTTCTCATCGGCCTCGTCCTGGGGGGACTTCAGGGCGCGGCATCCGGGGCTCCCCTGCGGGCACGTGTGCCTGAGCCGCCTGGGAGCAACGGAGCCTGAGCTGCTCGCACGGGACCGAGCGGGGCCCGGCCACACGCACTCGCCCGGACGGCCGGCGCCCCCACCTCTGGGATGAAAGCATTGCTTTGGTTCTGGGGGTTCTGGCTGTGCAGCCAAGGCAACCCCGTGATTCTGACCCGGCGCCCTGCTCTGTCAGAGGAAAGGTCACCTTTCAGGGGCTGGGTTCAGGGGGCTGAGGGACAGCAGGCTGGCGTCAGGGCTGACCAAAAGCAGGAATCGGGTCCAGGACAGACGTCACCGTG